TAGCATAAAATTTTGACATCGTATAAAATTCATGTCAAAATTTATATTTTATGTTCATTTATTTGCAATATACTATGCTAAAATACTAATTTAAAAAGCAATATATACAATAGATATATTGTACATTTTTATAATATAGTTCACAATTCATATTTAGCTTTGATTTGCTGATAAACTACTGATTATAATATTTAAAGTTACCGAAGTTTGTTAATGCTTATGAAGTCTTTGGACGATACATATTAGATGGTAACTAGATTTTTATAGTTTCTCATGTTGGTTATCATAAAATTAATCAGTTTCTCTATGATCTCAAGCTCACTATACGCACTTATTGTAGAAAATCTCTCTGTTATCGTAATTAAAATATGAAATATGAAATATGAAATTATTGTCTCATGTTTTTTTATATTCGGCGAAATATCAATATTTATTTGAATGCAACATAGAAAGCTTTATAGTGAATTTTGTCAGTGCTATGAAACATATTACAGTCATTTTAATAAAAAATAATGACTTTAATAAAATCATAAAATCATAAATAGTGTAACCAGTATTCAATTTATCAACGTTTCGTTGAACGTAAAACGTCTAAAGCTTCATGTTTAATATATGCAGATAATCTGATCTTTACGGTCAGGTTAACGCTATAAGTTCAAAAAATGTTAACGCATATTTTCAAACTCATTACTAACTTCACACAAAAATAATAAACATTATTTATAATAATAGCAATAGCTATTTTTGCTTTACATTATAAGATATACTATACTCTTTGTATACGTACGGGAACTGCCCAATACATACATATATAATATATATATTTTATGGTCGTGTATTTATTATAATTTTATTTACAGATTGTCAACGTGCAATTTATAAACGAACAAAATTAAAAATAAAACTAATTTTTTTTGCATTACCTTAAGAAGCAAATTTATTAAAACTTTTAATTATTTTATTCTTGGTAATAAAAAATTTATAATAAAAATACTTTAAAATGCCTTGTTTATTTATTAACAATTAATTAAGATGACTATATACAAGAATAAATGATCATAAATGAGTTGTAATTTAATAAATCAACATTACTTTAAGCCAATCGTTTTGTCGACTATTAACTTCCGTTATTCGTATAATGTAACGAGTATGTGTCAACTCTCATTTAAGCGTATATAAATAACTAGAATTTTTCATTATTAATATTATCAAACTTATTTAGTGAGTTTATTTGATTTCCAATAAATAGTTTATTAGTCAGAAATTCAGAAATTGCTTTTTTTTAATTAAAAAAGGTAAAAGGTTCAAGTATGGCATAAACTTGCTGAATTTTCAAATAAAAATACATAGTAAGGTTTTTCTAGTAAAAAAACTTGGTGCCAATGTTCTAAATTAAAAATGAACGAGTAAGTTTAACAAATATTCGCTGAATTGAATAAGATAATTGAATTACTTATTATGTTTATATATCTATTTTGTTCTAATCTAGTTTTGTAATATATTCTATTACCAGATTTTTGGTTTTGATGAATACTATATGACAAGTATTACAAATGAGCTATTATATCGATTTATGTGACAGTTAAACAACACTCGCTGTGTTTTTATAAATGAATCAATTATACAATTGTAAACGTTTGTGCAGATAATTTTTGTGAAACTTTTCTGAACCTAAGTTAAGCTTAATTTATGTGCAAAGTGACAATTTTAATATATCATTTAAGCACACTAATGAATTGTGTTGAAAAATAGTTCGTACATTATTTTTCTATTAAATAAAAAATTTTCTCCGCAAATTATAATTAATTATTTAATATTTATGAAGGTGAAAATAATATTACAAAATATTACAAAATTTTAATTTAAGTGCTTATTATTAGTGTTGGAGGAAAAAGTTGATCCTTATTATTATGTTAACACCATAAACTAGATTTAAGTAACCAATATTTGTAATGTGCCTTGTCTAGGTTTATTTAGGAAATGCTTTCGCTGAAATTATATATCCTAATACAGAATTCAAACTATGTTCTTTTATATATAAAAGAACTAATTCTAAACACAAAATAATTAATTTTGTATACAATATATAATATATTCTATAATAATTTTATAATATATTCTTAATCATATAAATGCTATGAAAAATAATTTATGTTTGAACGAGGTTTTAAATTATGCTGCTAGACTATATGAAGTAAATCTGGAATTTAACAAGATGAGAGCTTTAATATTAATGATTATATTAAATCATTTTCAAACTTACAGTGTAAAAGTAGTATTAGTTTTAAGTATATACGACATATCAATATCTTAGAATGGCAAGAACATAATTAGTTAATTTAATTAAGTATAAAATGATAAGAAATTACATTTTATTGAAAACAACAATATATACATATATTACAAAATGAATCTTATTTTATAATTTATTATTTAAATAATTATAATATAGAATCTAGTCACGTTTTTGTATTCTAGCAAAAATAACAAAAATAACTTATTTTTTACCAATCGAGAAAGTTATCACTTAGTATGTACACTTAAACGACTTTTTCATCTCTATAAATATTTAAAAAAAAGTAGAAACGTAAAAGAAAAAAATGAGAAAATTTTTATACAGTAGAAAGACTTTATTAAGTAGTAAAGCAAGTTGGGAGAGAACAGGCTCTATCTATGTAAAATAGTATTTAGTGCAATATTAGTAATATTAGTTTTTTAATAATTTATATTATACTTTACTTTTAATAACAAATGTGCCATAAGAAAAACTGTTGCGTTTTATGTTTTTTTTTTTTTGTTTTTTTTAGTAACATTTGTGTATTAGTATAGTTTTTTTTTATAAGATTTGTTAATTTTATTAAGTTTATTGCCACAATTGATATATTCAAATATATATTGTTAATCAACTTAATAAGTTTGGTTCAATTTATCTTATGAAATGTAACGAGTAGATGTAAATTTTAAACACTATATAAAAATTAATCTAAATTAGTTCCCATATCACATCGAGCAATTGTCCTTAATTTATAAAATTTTAACTTTAATAATATAAGAAATCTCTTTGAAATATATTTCATTGCTTTGTTTTTTATATGTGTTCCAACAGATTTAAAACATAGTGTAGCGAGTAATTAAAGATTTATAATCATAACTAAATTTTTCCATATTCGGTATTACTAGGTTTGACATTAATTATTATTATATGTTCATTATTATATTATATATTTATTAAACAATTAAGGGACACCTATACAATGTACACTTAAGTTAAGTAACCCTTAAGCGTTTGATGTAGTGTGAAATGTTCTACTTCACTCAAATGTCACACTGACATTTCAATCTACATTGTAAAATTGGTCCTCATTATAATAAATTTTGAAAGAACAATAGGCGATTATATATTTATGTACACCTTTTGTGTAATAACTCAATTTATATATATTTAAAATCGTTATTTGATAATTATGTTTTGAAAAGTTTTAAAAAGTTTTAATGCTTTGCATGATATTGTTTTTAATTAAGGCTAAAGGAGAAATACATTACTTTGGACTCTGCTTATATTATTCACGGTTTGGTATTTTACGCCGTCGGGCATGGGCTCGATCCTAAGATCTTAATCAAAGATTATCATCTAAAAGCAAATCATTATCATCTCCTCTGTCTGGCAAACAAACAAAAAATTCGAGTAAATTTAATATAGGGCCACGCGAAAATGGATTTTGATATCGTCCACGTTTATCTCGTAAATATGGGTAGCGTTTATAATTAAACATTTCATTCGTTGTTAGATTCATGCAAGCATGTAATATCTGGAATTAGAAAAAAAATTTTTGCATACATAAAGAACTTCTCTAAATATAAAAAAATTATTACTTACCGATGTACAAGTCAATATCCAACCTAAACCACAGAACACTACCGCTTCTATAAGGCCCAGTACATAGAGCAATGTGAAACCCTCAATCATAACACAATAACAAGCAAAGTAGATGGTAAATGAGCAATTAACCGCAACAGATAGTACAAATAGAAAGAACCACATACGATTTCGTAAACCCACGCAATTGTATATGAAGGGGCAATGATGGTCAAAATACGATACGCAACGGTTGCATACTCGGCAATGTTTCGCACGCAATGGTCGCAAACAGCGGCAACTATGACAAAGTCGAGTCAATATGACATTGCGTTTCTTAAGTTTGTCAAAATAGGGTATCTGTTTAATTGCACGATAATAAGCATCAGAGCTTAATGGTATATAGCCTGGATCGCGTCGATTGGCAATAATCCAACTTATCCACATGACGGCATTCCAATATATAAAGCAATAGTGTGACCGGCGTAATATATTCCAGGTAATTGGTATAGCCTAAAACAAGTTCCATATATGAATGTTATTATTATAACAAAATATTCTTAACTTACCCGGATCATATACATCGGATAACCCCAGAGTAGCACCGAAAATAGAAAAAGCAATAACGGTCCTTTGGAATCTCCTGCGCCACCGAAAAGCCAGCCCCATATTTCTGAAACTGATGGTATCCAACGAGATTTTTTCTTGACCTCGTTGTAGAGTAATCGAACAACGTCTTGATGTTGGTGCGCTTGTGCTAACATGATTGGTGTTTTGCCATTCTTATCTCGTGGCTCCAAATCTAGGGTAGATTTTTCACAAAGTAAACGTACACAAGTCATATTTCCAGATAGGCATGCCAAATGCAGGGGTGTGGAACCAAAGTTATCAGTTTTTTGCAACTCTACACCAGAATACATTAACAAACGCATTAAATCAGCATGACCTTTATAAGCAGCCCAATGTAAAGCGGTATCACCTAAAAAATTGTCAAAGAAGAATTTAAGTTATATGATGAACAAGTTTCCACTTGTTTTATTACAAAAATTATCGATAACGTTGCTTTCTGCGGCTTGGACGAATAATAACACCAATATTACTTGTTCATCTGCTCATAAAAAGTCTTAAACACTTACCATTTACATCCGTCAGATGGTTGAGTGCACCCATTCCTAGTAAATATGCTGCTGTTGCAGTGCGTCCATACATACAAGCTGTCATTAATGGTGTTAGTCCTTTAAAATCAGCTGCATTAACAGCTACACCCGATTGCAATAAAACTTGTACCACAGCCGCATGGCCTTTACGACACGCCCAGTGTATAGGTCGTGGACCTTGCGTGCCCAAACAAGGTAAATCGACTGGCGCAGACCGCTCAATCAAATAACGCATCATCTCAACATTACCATTTAGAGCTACCCAATGAGCAGGTGTATAACCGTGGCGATCTCTAGCAGACAAACACTCCATACCAAATTTTTCGACAAGTGCCTCGACATCACTAACCTCACCATTTTTTATCACATCAAATATATCATCTAAATTTGCCATAGCACCATCCAAACCCTCGAACAACAACAAATTACTGTCATGCTCATCGACACCACCACCAACTCCTCCAGCACCACCACCACTATCCTCTTCAGCTACCATATTACATGAGGCAGTCAGGGGCAACGCCCAAACACTGCGCGCTGCCCCTGGACTTGGGTGTACTTTACTATTGCCTTGCGTCTTGAGGGCGGTATCTGCAGACGCCACGGTAAAATAATCCGTTCGCTCCACAGCGACCGTTGTAGATGTTTGATGAAGTGGATTTCCTTGTAGGTGTAAAATGTTTTTGGTCTTAAAGTCACGCTCAATGAAAAATTATAATTTAAGTTCTGTTAATAATATCTTTCCGAATAATTACAATATACGCAACTATTAATTTATTTGCAATAAATCGGAATTGTTTGTTAAATGTGTTTTTTGTTTCGAATTGAATTGTTGTGTTTAAAAAAATCAATAGCTGTTAAACGTTATATTTCACATAAATTACGATGGAAATCCTTAAAAGGAACACAAAGATAAATTTGATTTCCAATTTTTAAAATAAAAATTTATTTAACTATAAATTATTCTTTTTTTACTTTTATTAACAATATATTTAAATATATTTTTAGAAATATAAGGACTATAAAGCTTATCTTTATCCTTTAAGAAGCTTAGAAAGCTTTATATAAAATAAACTTACCTTCAAAAGAACAACCCTGATTTTATTGAAAATCATTAAAATCATCCAGGTCGTAACACACATACATATATACTATAGATATACTATAGAATGAAGTAAGTGCAATTGAACAACAAAAGTCTGGAATTTTTTATATTTGTTTGATTGAATGAAATGCAGAAGCATTAAGTTACGGTTGTGATCAAAATTTCAATGTCAATTGCTTGGTGGATTCCATTAGTGGTGTATTTCCAAATATTGTAAAAATCGTATGAAACAATTATGGCATATAAAATAGTAAGTCATTTTAAATGAAACTCATTTTATGAGGTTTTTATGGGAAAGGAGTGTTATCAACTCTTATCAACGAATAATAACATTTTAGTAATGTGTAAAATCAAAGCGATTTCTATATTATTTTGATTGGTGATGATTGGTGATTATTATATCGAAATCTCATAATTTTTTTTTGATTGGTCATAAAACATGAATTTTAATAATTTTATTAATGTTTTTAATTGTCTGCATTATTTTCAATATTATGTATTCATACAATATTTATAACTAATGTATAAAAAACTAATTTTTACGTTCGCTTAAACATTTTTTAAACCAACCAATTTAGCGCGCAAATAAACCAACAAAAAATGTCAAAATTAGATAAAACGTACCGCTCACACATATACTACATACATACATATGTATGTTTTTATACTTCCTTGACTCCTATTTCTATGAAAACACCCATACGTATACGTATATAAACCTTTAAAAGAACTTTAATAATATATAATTTGTGTATATGAACATAAGCATTTAACTTATTATTGTAAATAAATTTTTTGATATAAGAACAACTGTAGTAAATACGTACACATAAGTAAATTATTTTATGTTACCAGCCATGCTGCTGGACATTCAGACTATTCTGACCCACCACAGACCATGAATCCAAAGTATTCCGTCAGATGTTATTTCTAACTTCGTCTATGCTAAAGCCCCGAAATCTTCGTACACGAGCAGTTCTAAATATGTATATGCCATTATTTACAATTTCATAATTAACACTAATCGCAATCAAAATATTACCAGAAAATTAAAAAGTATTATAACATTATAAGAATAACTATAAAATTTTAGCTGGTTTAATTTAATTATCTTTAGGGCTGATTAAACTTATAAAAACTTCCGGAAAGTTTCGGCTTTTTGCAATTAGCTCTAAATAGTAGTAAATAGTAGCTAACATATAAGTAATGTTAGTAATATTTGCATAAAATTTTTCATTTTAAAATTTAAAATTTAAGCAACTGCGTATTTAAATTTAAGAAAGATTTGCTTAAATGATACATAAAAATTCGTGATTTATCAATTTATGGAAAAACTCAAAAATTTAAAAATACATTTACTCTTCCGTACTTCGGCAAAGTGTAATGGCATTCGGGGTTGTTTCACATCGTTTTTGCTCTATGTAACGTAGTTAACGTTACAAGCAATTTTAATAATCATTTTTTATGTTTTTATGTCAACCGTGTGCATTTGCCTAAAACTATTTTGTCAGCAGATGTGGAAAATTCTTTGTACATGAATGCATGAATTCATCTGAAGTAAACAAACTTCACTTAATAATATATCACGCTAAAAAATTAAATATTTAATTGATATATTAAATCATTTATATACATTTTATAAATCAATTTTATATTTAATTAATAAAAACAGATTTTATTTTGTTTAATATTTACTTTCTCAGTGTACTTGTGTACAGTTCAGCTGTTGTTTGCTTACATTTTATATATAAAAATATATGACATATACTTCAAATTTTGGTCATTTCCCTTGTGGGAAATTTATTTTTAAGGTTGCATTCGACATTTTTCATCTAAAATGAGCCGATTTATTTTAAATCAACTCATTTATATAAAAGCTCTTTGTATGGCAAATCATGCTCATTAGTGTTTATAATGAGCAAAACCGCCTAAATGAGGTAGTATGAATGTATTATAATATGGCGTTTACATTGACCGAAAATGACTCATTTTGAATGAGCCATTTGAAAGTGTTTACATTCGTTGTAATTCGTTTGTTTTCATTTCAAATAACTGATTTTTCAACTTGCCTGTTGATTTGATTTTTGGCCTGTTGCAAAAAAATGTTACTTGAAGGTTAAATATACCTTCAAACCTTAAAATATATACTGAAAACAACTAAGTTCGATTAAATACTTTTTGGGAAGTAAAAGTTCTAAAAAGAGATGTATTGTTATCGAGAAAATGCAACCACCAAACATTTGTTTTTTTTTGTAAATATTTTAAAAACAGCTTTCTCAAACTGTCAAAATGCCATGAAGAGCTTTTATTTAGGGTATGTTCAATGTATTCCTGTGCATATGGCATATATTTAGAACGTATGCGAACGTCGTTGGGACGCATTCATATAGATTATGATGCGAATGGCTCATTCTTGCATACAAAATTTCAACCGCGAATTAGCCATTCGCTTCTCATTTTCGATTTTTGACCAAAATGAGCCATTTTCAGCCAGTATAATGTTTTCATAAGATAATATTTTCATAATTGAATTTAAATGAATATATGAATGTATAAAATGACAATAAAAAATAATTTTAATAAAACGTTTTGTATTATTTGTATTGAAAAAAATAATTATCGTTATTAGAAAATTTTTAACCGAAAAACCGAAACTTTTCACTTTTTTTCTTTATTTAATGAGCATTTGCAATAAAGTTTGTAAATATGTGTATTTTCTAAAATTTTTATTACTTTTATTTAATATTATAAAGATTTATTTGAAAAAATTTTATTATAGTGGCTGTTTTCAAAAAACTAAATGAATTTCTATTCTTTGACTTGGCAATATGTTTTGGTGATTTTTGACGTTTGCATAATATTGTTTGTATTCAACATATTCAAAATTTTACAAATTTTGAAATTGTGCGGCAGCCAAAATTTTGTTAAATTTTATCACAATTTTATCACAAAAATGTCAAGAAAGCGTATTTATAATAAGAAATGTAGGAATTTATTTTATTAGCTGTCAAAATGCAACTCGCACACTTTTTTGAATTAAAAACGTGTGTGAGTTAGGCAAAGTTGCGTTCTTAATGAGGGAAATTCTAAGTTATAATGTAATGATGTGTCGATAATGTAATGATGTGTCGATACGTGTTGATAAATGTCTAAATGTGTGCGGTGCAAAAAATCCCAAGGAAAGTCCCATTTGGTTTAGCATAAATTTAGCACAACTCGCACACGCCCTAAATATATTTCGTTATCACTGTCCATGCAGCTTTCAAAATAAATAATGCAAAATTGTTTATTCGCAAGCAATGTTACCGATACATGCGACCTGTTCACACGAAAAAATAAATGTTCATGTATGCCAGACAAAAGTCGCACGCAGTAACCGCAGCTTAATACATGGAATATATTTTTAAAAAATATTATGTTAAGGTATGTCATCAATAAAAATCAATATTAATCAAAACTCATTATTACACAAAAAGAAATTTGTGAGTAAATAATAGAATTTTACAAATTGTCATATAAATTTCTGGATCTTTTTTGAATTCGAATACTCGAAAGTGGAAGAAAATTAAAATTAACTGTCGTATGCAACAACTCGCTAAAAATTTGCCAGTGTTGTTAGCTTGATTTTATCAAAATACAATTGGCATGTAATAATAACACAAAAATCATATGGTAAATTGATTTGACGTTTTTTTCGTAGTTTGACGTTATTTAGTATGGCGGCGGACAACGTGGTGTCGGAGTTAAGCAATTTGGTTTTAAACGATAAAAAGGCATGTTAAATTGTTTATAATTTGTGGATTAAATAAAAAATCTGCATTAAACAATACTTTAAAGTAATGTTTAGTTTGGTAAATGCTTTTAAAACAACGACTAAATCTGCTGTGAATTTAAGTTTACAAATACAACAAAGTTGCTGTCGTGTTCATATTTTAAAGTCGCCGCGGGCCAAAGAAAAATTTGTTAGAAAAGAAAGTGAAAGGTTTTCGTATTTTTCAAATATTCAAAGCAGTTTAATCACTCACAAATGCAACTACGCAACATTGGTCGGTGTTTGATATTAATTATTATAATTTTGTTTTTTGCAATAGAAGCAAAATTTATTTTAAATTCCATAACATGTTCTAAACATTCATAATCATTAATGATTCATACGACATTTGTTGCTTACGTAGACATTCCCAGAAATCGATGATAAAAACGATTCTTTGCAAAAATCAAAAATAATTAAGTGTAAACATAACTAATCTTTATTTAAATATTTGTTACTTCTATCGTATAGAAGTTTATGATGCGGCCGGAAGCTATAAAAGTGTAGTGGAAACAATTTTATTAGGCTTTTATTGATAACATATTTATGTTGCGTTGTAAAATGCAAAAAGATAATTCCTCAAAATTATTAATAAAATAATACAATTTTGATTTATGCAGTAGTAATATTCAAACAAAATTTTTTTACCCGGCTATAGGTATTTTATAGTGTCTGCCTAAATGCAAACAAATTGTTCTGAGTCTAGTTTACTATGTGTAATTAAGTCAACTTAAAGTATGTATTAGTATATTTAACAACTAAACAATATGAATTACACTGATTTTATATAAAGAATGTATTTTTGAAGATATATATATGCATATATATGGTATATATATATGTATATGTATGGTATATATATGGTATATATATATGTATATGTATGGTATATATATGGTATATATATATGTATATGTATGGTATATATATGGTATATATATATGTATATGTATGGTATATATATGGTATATATATATGTATATGTATGGTATATATATGGTATATATATATGTATATGTATGGTATATATATGGTATATATATATGTATATGTATGGTATATATATGGTATATATATATGTATATGTATGGTATATATATGGTATATATATATGTATATGTATGGTATATATATGGTATATATATATGTATATGTATGGTATATATATGGTATATATATATGTATATGTATGGTATATATATGGTATATATATATGTATATGTATGGTATATATATGGTATATATATATGTATATGTATGGTATATATATGGTATATATATATGTATATGTATGGTATATATATGTATATATATATGTATATGTATGGTATATATATGGTATATATATATGTATATGTATGGTATATATATGGTATATATATATGTATATGTATATATATATGGTATATGTATATGTATATGTATATGTATATGTATATGTATATGTATATGTATATGTATATGTATATGTATATGTATATGTATATGTATATACGATATTTTTCTTATAATTATGTGTATTTTTAAGAAGATTCGCTTTGTGTATTTATGGTTTTAATTAAAATGAAAATCAATAACTGCACCAATAATTAGATCTAAATAAAATCATGCTACACAATCGGTTCATTTACGTGTATACATATATGCTTAGAGTTTCACTATAACGAACTTATAGTATTTACCACCTTACAAACGGAAAATTATATTATATAAAATAGAGAAAAGTTATTCATGAAAAATAAAAATAAACAAGAAAAATGTGGGTAAACAAGTTCAATGCCCTTTTGACACAAATGATGCTTTGCTATGTTTGCCACTATACAGTGCACTCCAAAGGTAATAACCCTAGTGTACATACGAGCCGGGTGAGTTAAAATGTGGGCTCATAATATTGCAGCTGCCTTTAAACAAATCTAACTACAAAAGAATTACAAAAAAAAAAAAGAAATAGCGGTAAACATTTGTTTGGGTTACTAGTAAAATTGCAAATCCTTTGTTTAGGCAAACTTTACAATCCGGTTTTTCACTCTTCACTTTATTATAATATATACTTGTATCTCTCTCATTCCTTAGGTATTTGTGCTTTATATTTCTCTGTTACCAAAAATTTCTCCCACTTCTTGATTTTGCGCATTGCACATCGGTAACCTACCGCAATATCTTTCTCATTTGTGCAGGGAATTAAAAGTTTTTATAGTCCCGCAAAAACAGACTTCACATTTGGAAAATAGAGCAAAAGCATGCAGAGGTTTGCATATGGTACTATGAAAGCTACTAGTTGTAAGCTCAACACTGACAAAAATAATTGGATGCATTTTAAGTGGTTGTTATCCGTATTAAAGTCAAAATTTATACCCGTAAAAACTTAATTTCAATTATAAAAAAATATATTCCTCTATTTGTAATTCCTCTATTCTAATAATGTAGAATGTAATGTAGAATTCTGTACAATATCTAAAATATTTAAAGGCTACCTTTTGAGGTACTAGTAGTATGCTAAAAATTAATGTAAGTAGTCTTGAACTAAGTTCATATGTCGTCAAGCAGAATTTAAAATAGTTTATTAAGTTAGTACAAAAAATAAAGTAGTAACATAATTTACCTTATATATACACTAAAATATGTCTAATATTGCTTTAGCAATAATTAATTAATTAATTTATGTTTGAGTTATCTTCACCTAAACTTATTCAGCTGAGCTTAGATACATCAGCGGAACTCAAAATGCGACAACGAGGACCGCTTTGGCCAACATAAGAAAATAAATGTTTGAAGATGCATTTAAGTAGATAAATAGTTTGTTGTGGATTTAAGCCAAAGTGTAGCTCTGTAGATATTGGTAAGTATTTACCGTCGCAACAACAACTGTATATTAATAAATTACTAAGTTTTTAATATAAGGGCCACTATATAGTATATGGTAAGTTTTTTCCGTAATAATTTAACAGATAGGTTATATCAAACTATATAAAAACTACCTCTGTTATATCGTTCTATGAATATGTCAAATTTTGTGTCTAAAAAAGAAAATTCACGACACACATTGTTTTCCTTATTAAATTATTTATTTAATTAAAAGAAAAACGCAGTTGAAAGTCATCGTTAGATGGTAGAAACGTATAGTGTATTATGAGTTTAATAACAAAAAACAGTACTATTATTATTATTGTCAGCTTCCCCCAGTGGGGCATAGGACGTCGATAATTTTTCTAAATTTGACTCTATTTGGTGCTTCACTGTAGATGTCATTCCATGTATATCGTGCGTCAGCTAGTTCACTTTAGACAGGTCTTCTGTTACCTTGTGGATTTCATGCTAACGCTTGCTTCGTCATGTAATCTGTCAGTTGACTAGGCGTACGGTCTATACACTTTGACTTTCCCATTTTTATCGCATTTTGTGCTGCTTTTTGAGTCGTTCGGTTCAGCAGGCGTTCATTTGATATTCGATTTCGTCACCATATTTTGAGTGTTATTGTTATACCAAAGATTTTTCATTATAAGGACTTAAAGGGAGCATATAAGGATTTGCATGGTCATGGTGGAAAATTATATGTCTTAGCAGGATGGAGAATCAAATAAGAGCAAAATAAGATAATAATAAGATCTCTTTGTGCTTATAAAACTAATGCTTAATGGCTTGTTATCCTGATGGCCATATCGCTTCCCCGTTTTTAGAGAATAGACTGTGTTTAAAGTTATCTTTCAATAAATTGATTATCACAGAAGACAATTATGCCGCATTGTCTTGATAAAACTATATATCTTTTAAGTGAGACACCTATTTGATTCCGAAAAAAAATAGTAATGTTCTTGCAGTAATCTTCATAGACGGTAACGAGAATGCAATTTTCAGTATCAAAAAAAAAAAAATTCAATTTAACTTCTAAGACATAAATAACAAATGTTAGTTCTTGTGGTTCTGTGCTCTTATGCAAAGTCATTAAGCTAAGATTAACGTTTCTGCATAAAGATGATTATTCTTGAAATAATGGGTCTGCTTTTGGTTACACTGAACCTAAATCTGTAGAATCACAATTCAATGAATGGGCATTTAGTTCGAGGTCTTGAATGAATTGAATTTCATATGTCTTCAATTGCAAATTTTTATGGAGCAGTAATTTCTTTGTGGTGTTAAAAAGGACTTGAGAACAATATCTAATTGATTGTCGCCGATTTTTACTCATATTTTGGGCTACAGAATCGATACTTGATGCAATTCTTTATTGGTTTTGGCCACGTTTTACAAATGGTTTCAGTTCTATAGAAAACTTTCGACGTCATTGTTTAATGATTAGACGATAATAAAAAAATTTAGCTGACGGATATTTAAAGAACTGTTAAGTTGTTTGTGTAAATTAAGCAGTTGATGATCTGTTGAAGTTGCAGTGCTCTAATTAGCTAAAAACTTTTGTATTTACGATAAGATAATGCGTTGAACCATTGTTGGAATATTTGGATGATAGTATCAGTAGTGATTGCTGTGAAACATGGACCTACTCCAGACATATAGAGAGAAAGATGCAAGTATTTGTCAACATGTATCTACGAAGAATTCTCAAAATATGGTGGCCAGATCGAATATTAAATGAACTCCTGCTGAATCAAAAGACTGAAAAAGCAGCACAGAATGAGATAAAAATGAGAAAGTGGAAGTGGATAGGTCATATCTTTAGACAGTCGAGAGATTATACAGGGAGGCAAGGGTTAGCAATCCGTAAGGTAATAGGAGAATTGGTGCGCCAGCGAAAACGTAGAGAGAAACAGTCGAAAGTGAGCTACCTGATGCACGATATATATGGAGCGACATCTATAGAGAAGCACCAAATAGTGTCAGTTTAGAAGAATTATTGAGGCCGCATTCCCCACTGGGGGAAGTGGACAATATTAGTAGTAGCAAATCAAGAGATGTATAAAGTATATCGATCAAGTGTTTTATTGATTTTCCTTTTAATTGTTAACAAAACCATAAAAAATCTCATTCAATCTTATTACGCCTACAAATTAAAAAAAGGATTCTGGACCTTGCATCACTAATTTATTACATGATACATAGTGCAATCACTAGTACTTGTACTGGAAGCTGTTAATAAAAGACAATCGTATCCTCAAACTTCTAATTCCTTTCACGAATGTAGGTTGAATTGAGCATTGTTAATTCATTGTCTGGTATTAAGTGTGATTCTAGATACTATTGTGTATTATGTATCAATACATTACTGTGTTCTAGTACGTGCCCTAGTGCCCTAGTGACCTATTTATCACATTATAGAATCTGCACATGGGATTTGGTATAATATTTATGCAGCTTAATGCCTTTTCTGCCTACAGTGGCTAGTTAACCGGTCAATATTTCTAACCTGTTCTTGGATACACCAATGCATCATTTAAGGCATTTACTATTTGAGTTCCTGAATAAGCATTTTATTGTCTCGTACCTATGTTGGCTGCAAACAGTTTCTGTATCGTACGTCTTTTGTTCTTCACTGCTAGCATTAGTAGAATATTTATATTTTAGTTTAAATTTGTCATCGTTAGTGATGTTTGGAAATATTTATGGGATAAGTAGTCTATTGATAAAATTTGGGCTATAAGTGCTAGGCGTAGAACTGTAAACTTGTTTATAGAACATAATAAAGGTGCTTTATTATTCAAGGAGAAATAACGATTCGTGAAGGAACTAAAGTGAAATTCAATAAAATAATCTAATAGTAGTTACTGAATAATATTTCAATAGGAAAGATTCCCATTATCCTTCATTTTGCTCACTGCATGGTAGTTTGGCACATTTTTCATGGGGTAATTCAATATAATTTCTCTTGAAAAATAAAGTTGGGTTTTAATTGCAATCTTCCATGGTGGAATTATTCGCAATCTTTTGTTTACGCTACTGCCACACTACACTACATAAGTGCAGAAAGCAAACAGGCAGGAGTAGGGTTTGGCCCATTTATTGCACATCGATATGCAAATGGGCACCATCTTCTCCAGCAAAATGTTAACAGGAGCAATAGGTATATCAAAGTGCAATACACACTTCCATTGATTGCAAGCTTTTTGGGCACATTCCCTTCGCTTGTGCTTTTCTCTTGTGTGCAGTACAGACTTTGTGCTGCACTTATCCTGGCGGTTTAATCATTTAGTTCTTGCACTCTCCGACAGCAAGTTGTGTTATTCTGTCTGTGTACACGGTTTTTGTTAAAATTCTTTTGCAAGTTGCAAAATATATATGCATTTGTTAATTCAAAAAACAATATTAATTCAATTATATCATTAAAAATGAAATAAAAATATAATTCATTTGAATATTAATTGTATTTAGTAACAAGTGAACGTGTGTGTGATTTTTTCAACTAAATATATTAATATATAAATAATAAAAAATAAAATTTATGTGTAACATAAATGCATATATTAGGTACAAAATAAAATTAATATAAGCAATAGGATTGTTCCTTCAAGCATCTGGTAAATATGAAATATGAAATAATTTTTAAAAGATTTTTATAATATTTCTAAATAATTTTTTTGTTTTCATTTTCATTTTCATAAAAAAGTCGCCTAATTTTATTAATAGTTCCAGAATTTTATTGCTGCTCCGAAGTTTCGCAATGATTCTTCAAAATTATTTCTGACTTAAGCAAAACATCGCACCCACCCAAACTTTGTATAAAACCAATCCTATTTATTAGCTTTCTTGGTGTACTATATACTAAGCCCAGTCCACATACAGCCTCTTTTTTAAAGTATAGCAACAACTTCACTATAAACGCTCTCACACTAGTTTCCTGCTTATATACTAATTGTAATGCAATAACGTTGCAAAAAGAAAAGTAAATAAAAATCAGGAAAAAGGATATCAACTTACTACAATTACACTTAGCAAACAGAAAACAAAACCAATAAGTAAAAATGTATTTACAGGGAAGGCGCATATTCGGCTTTCGCATACATATCCTCTCACTGCATATTTATGCATTTGGATTGGTCTCCCGTTCTCGGGTATCCAATCTCTTCAGCTGCATTCTCGTACATTTGATGCATTCTGCTAAGTTTTTGGCGCTTGCAAAAACAGCTGAGTTGCGATACTTTGGCGTAGTTCACTGTGGTGAAGAACTTGTAAGCTAAAGCATCGGTGGTGGTATATTTGCCGCACCCTGAAATTTGCTTCGATGTCAATTCAAACGTGTCGCAGAGTAGCAGCTGGCAGTTATCTTTGTAAGGTGTGGTGTTGTTTTTGTTTTGCTATTTATTTACCGGAAATAACTTAGTGCAATTTATGAATGGGCTTACCCGGTATTTCTTTTCCACTTCTTAGCCGCATCAAGGATATCTACCACAACAGAATATGATTTTATAAATGCAATTTACAATTGAGTGCATTTCACTAAATAAATAAAAATTTCCTTTTCCTTTAATAGATTAAAGCTTTTTTCGTTTATTTTGTCAGGGAATTATTTTCCTTTTAACCTATTTTATGGCAATTATTGTACATCAAACGATTGTATATGAGACCAATATCTTAACTAATTATTTTATGCAGTTAAGATGAGCTTCAACTTTCATATAACATAGATTTCTACAAACATTCAACTAAAATATGTGTGTATATTTTTATATAATGTATGTATATATGTATACGAATGTACAGGACTTTAGCTTACTCTTTCGTAAATAAAATAAAAGGTAAATGAAATAATATATATATATGTAATTAGTGCCAATTAAAATGCTAATTCATTTTAATTTAATTTAATGTCGGTTAATTTAAATACAAAAAGAAAATTAAATTGAATTTAAAATTTTCTAACTGCTATTGCTCAATTTCTACCATTCTATACAGAAATTTATTGCAACCTAATACCAATGAAATATTAACTAAATTACCATAACTAAATTGAAGTTAAAGCAAAAATATATTTTATGTAATTAAGTAGTGTCTTGAATACCAGGATATTGTGACTATCACAACAACTGTGTAATAGATGAACAGGCACGCAATGACGCTGCAAATGGTGATGCTGTAATCTAATTGTAAATCTAACTGTAAATGTAACTGTGAAAAAACAAAGCATCTTTGACAGTCACTAAAAACCATTAGAAATCACATATCGGCCAATGAATACGTAGAATATCCAATAAAATAAATTTTTGATGAAATTTGACTTTATAACATATATAAGCACAGTCACTTTCAAGAGTAACACGGCGCCTCTAATATTTCGATATCTCTCTTGTAGAGATTATTGATTCACCTTTGGCCTTAAAATAGTTTATCTGAGCCAAATCATTTTTCCTAAAATATTTTTTTTAGGTCTGACAAAATCAGTGGGTGATGGAAGCAATACGAAGTGGAT